GTGTTGTACTGCTTATTTTTTAGCTATTGCAGTTTCCATGCAAACGTTTGTGCCCAAAATTATTGATACGAACTGGTCAGCCTTAATTGTTGCTCCAGGTACTTTTTTGCTTCTTGGCAGGAAGTATTAGAATTATCTGAAAGGCAAGACTTTAAAACCTTTAATCTCACAATTTCTCCAAAGAAGTCTGTTGTATGGTTTTTTTGCACCTCGTAGAGCAGGGCAAGGAAAAAGCCATCAGAAAATTGGAAGACATTCTGCAACAGGGATTAAAGAAGCACATCTGTTTAGGCCTTGTTTGGTTTTTTAAACTGTTAGCTGTCTAAAAACTGAGGCGCTTTTGGAAAACCATAGGTGGTTGTGATACTAAACCAATACTGTGAGGGAAAGAGTAAGAAAGACCTGAGAAGAAAGAAAAAAAAAACGTCCCTCAGTGAGACCTCCAGGATGCATGGAGCACAATGTATGAGCTGTAACAGCAGCCACCTGTGAAACCCCACATCTCACTGAGGAGGCACTTTTATTTCTTTCTTCTTCAGGTTTGACTTGCTAACTCTTTCCCTGTTCTGACTTTCCTTGTCTTGTTTCCTTTTCCCTGCTTTCTTCTCATTTAGTCTTGTTTAGACAGTCCCTCCTCCCTGTCCCCTGTCTCACTCTCTCTGTGCAGTGATTCTGTTGTCATCTCAGTCCTCTCCTCCCCTTCAGGACGTTGCTTTTTCAGTTCCAGTACTGTAACACCTCATGTAAACTGCCTTTAATCTCCCTCTGTTTTGGCTTTCCATTGTTTATTCCTTGTCCTGTTTGTTGTTTTGTTTTGGTTTGTTTTGGTTTTTTTCCACACGCCTCTCCCAATTTCCACATTGTATTCAAACAGTTCTCCCTTTCATTGTCTTCACTTTGACAGGTTGTATCTCCTCTTACAGAGATCACCGTGGCTACTTTAGTTCAAGATGAGTGTAGCACAGCATCATATGTTTGTTTATTCCTCTTCTGGCTCCTCTCTAGGGAAAGCTTTATGACTCATAACTTAATTGCTTTGCTGTCTGATTTGGTCCACTTGGTTCCCACCTGCTTACCAGAGACAGCCACCTCTTCATTACTCGTTTTGACACCTCTCATTTTTTATGCACAATGTTTGCCCGAAAGAGTGACAACAACTCTTTTAGTAATAGATTGACTTGATCACCAATGACTCAGTTTTTAAGACTGGCCTTCCTTCCCTGAGAAATGCTTAGCTAATGCCTAGTCACCTCAGCTATTTAATTGAAACCAAAAGTATAATGGGAGTAAATCACAACAAGCTTGTGGAAGTGCCCCAGGTGTATCACACGCTCCTGTCAAACACCAACGATGCTTCCTGCCTCCCCCAAAGAATATAATTTAGTTTTCCTTGCAATACTCATTAGTATCTTCTGTTTTGGTTTTGTTTGTGTTTTTTTTTTTAAGCTTAACAAGGGAAACATAATCCTGGCAGAGCGCATTTTTTTTTATATTTGGGAGAATAAATCCACCTTTATGGATGTCAGCTAAGCCTCTGACATCAGATATATCAGATTTGAAATAAAGGGACATAAGATTACAAGAGCAAGTGAACTTTTGGGCAGTTTTGACAAATCTGAAGGAATGAGGAAGATGAGTAGGAATGGAATTATTTTAGAGGGAAAGGTTATCGAATAAACCAACAGGAGTAGTAACACTGACAGGGAAGTGGCTGGATGATGAGTACTAGGACACCTCTTAGAGACTTTAAACTTTCAATACCTCCAACTGCAATTCATCATCAGACCATACTAGATTTTATCTCCTCTTGATCCATGAAAATTACTGATAAGTGTGCTAGTTGTCAATGGGCATGAGTATTTCTGAGCACCTTTAGACATCTCATCTCTTGGAAGATTTACCAGTCTCACTGCCGTTTTTGCTAATCGAAAGAAGATTTTAACCTCATTTAACCTCATTTCTGACCTTCACATCATAACTTCATTATGGGATCCAGTGAGCTGCTACTCATAATTAGAGATGAAAATAACAATGGCACACATTTATTTATAACTGGGGATTAAATGGACAACACCTGCTCCTGACCTGTGCACTGTGCCATGTAGCAAGGGCATCAGGACAGAGTTAAATGGTCTCCTTTATTCCAGAACAAGCTAATCTACAAGACTACAATGCGAACATCTTTGTAAGTACATAATATTTACAAATGCCAGCTGGATACTATTCAGGTTAATTTATATCACTGCTTCACTTGTACTTCCAGTGCTTTCTGTTCATCTGCAGAGGCAGTGGTACCAAGCCAGCAAATGTCTGCATCTGTTTCAAAAATGTCTCAGAGGTGATTCAGGAATACAAGAGCAATCTTCAGATGGATTAAAACGTTAGGACTCTGTGGCAGTGAAAAACGTTGCACCAACAGTGTTATTTGGAAAGGATGGTTCCCAGCCAAAAAAAATACCCAACGAGGTCTTTTTTTGCACATAAAGAAACTGTGTATAATTTTGCAAGCTTTATATTTGTTAAAATTTCATTTCTCTGTTGTAAATGGGCTTTTTCCTAATATTTTGAATCGGAAAATGAAATGAGCAAAAAGGAGAGGGAGGAACCCAGAAAACGTTCTTCCCCTGAAGCTTCTAGTGCAACTTCTCAACCTGTGAAGGCCTCTCTGAGACTTTCTGCCCTCAGATCTGTTCCCTGAATGAAACTTTGGATGTTCATTAATCACCACCTCAACTACTGCCTGGTGAATGGCTCCACCTCTGCCACTGTTTTGGATTGAGTGTGACACGTACATCATTCTGAATTGCTTTCTTGCCAGTTCGCACCTCTATGAAGGCAGTTTGGTTGCAAATTTAATTAGAAATAGTAGTTGTGTGAAAGTGAGAGGAACCCTCAATACTCACAGGGTTCTTTCCAAAGACACATTTAGTCATTTTAGTAATCCTTTTGTCCTTGAAAGTAGTACTAATATCCAGATTAACTACATATTGATATATTATTTTATCCTTGTGTTGCCTCTGACTAATATTTTTTTTTTTAATTAAATGGGTTCTTTTAAACCATAGTTTCCCAATGTACATGGTAACTGATTTTCTACTTGTAATCTAAGACAAGATTTCCTGCTGTGGGGTCTGAACATTGTCATGCAGCCTAGTACCTGAAGTTATATTTTATTAACTATACAAGTTAATAAAAATTTAAAAAAAATAAGAAAAAGAAAAAAAAAAAGGAAAGAAAACTTCTTTTTATTCTAGCTCTCAATGTTCCATGCAAACTGTAGCTAAAAATCTCCAGGGGAGAGGAAAATTAAGATTTGAATAATTGGTGAGAACTGCATGTTTTAGCTATTGTGATACCCTCAGCTTTTGCTGTCCTCTCAGCGAGTAAATGAGTTAGCTGCTGAGCTGTTAAAAGTCCTGTAGAGAAAATTACAACGTGAAAATTCAATCTGGACTTGCAGTTTTTCAGTCCCACGGGCTCATCCAGCTTTTTTTTTTTTTGCTGCTTAAAGGAAACAACTGCTGCTCCCAGGTGCAACAACAGGGTTGCTTGCTCAGCTGCACTGACACCTCCAGTGAGTCTCTCGAATTTGCAGAAGTTTGTTTGGGGCCCAGTTGTGAATTAAGAGTGCTTTTGAGAGCTTCCACCACTTTTCAAGTCTCCGAGTTTTGCTTCCACTTGGAGCCCTGCGTGGTTGTTTCTTGGATCTAGCAAACAGCAGATCACAGCACCAAAGTCCCAGCTCTTAACATCACATCACCTTTTGCCACAGCTGCAGTGATTTAGCTTGTATTGTTACTAGTGTTAAAACTGCAATACAGTTTTTATGTTAATGCACGTTGTGTTTATGCCACATAGTTGGCATTTCTTTATCATTTTCCTAAATGTTGGGGCTCTGCAGGCAAAGGCTGGTGTTCTCCTTGGGCTTCAGCAGCAGCTGCAGAGCAGGTGTTAGGGAGAAACTTGATTAGGAAGAGCAACCTTCAAGTATTTTATGGAACATACGAAAATTTCCTCGGCGTTTTCCAGTTAAAACCAGAAAATGTGAGTGCTGCTTTTATTTAAACAGGTGTTTTTCGGATCCAAGGAACACACCTGTTACATATATGAGTGGATCATTGCTGCCAGAAGGCAGGCCAGGATGTGCTCCAGCAGGTTCCAGGCGAGAAAGGGAGCCAGGATCATGGCAAATGCTGGCAATTCACATCTGTTTGTAGTCACAGTCCAACAGAGAAGCTGGACGAAACTGTCTTTCCTCCTTTTAGCACGCAAGAAAGGGGGTTGTGAAGGGCTGATTAGCAAGAAGCTATTTTCACTTATATGCCTTGACACAGGTATTGAAATGAGTTTCCCTCACTTAATGTTATTTATTTGAATGGCAGTGCCCAAAATCATGATCTTTCCTGTGTTCCTCACCTCATCTAAATCTTTGGAAGCCAGTGGAAATACACTAAGGCAGGGGCTGGTGGTACTCTGCTGTCTCTGAAAAACACTTTAAAACCAACAGAACAGTTAATTTGTGGAGATCTGTGTCCTTGCCCTGACCGAGGCCAGAACAAATTGGCACAGTGAAACCTGTCAGTGAGCAACTATGCAGTCTCATTGTCCTCAAAAAGTTTCCCAATTCCTTAGCGCGTTAGTGTTTGGTATGTCTGAACAGCGAGGGTTTATCTGTTCCTACTTTTTTTCTTCCTAATGTAGCTATAAGAGTCTACTCAGGTGCTCCGAGGTCTGTCTGTCGTAACTGCTGCTCAGGAGAGGTTTGGGTTTGAACTATTTTGAATCACAGGAACCAAACTCAAAATTTCACTCTGGCGAAGAGGAAGATGAGAGGCAGGAGGTATCCTGTCATGCCAGCCAGCCAGAACGAACCATTCCAAATCTTAACTGCTTGCCAGTCTTGTGCCTGTGAGCTGCAACTGATCACACAGCTTCTCCCTGGCAGGTCTTCTAATCTTAAATAATCCGTTTCTTTATTTTTATTTTTTTTTTTTTTTTAGCTGAAACAAAGATCTGCTTCAAGTACTACCATGGTGTGAGCGGGGCCCTAAGAGCCACAACTCCGAGCGTCACAGTGAAAAACAACGCAGCTCCTGTAAGTGATGCCGACATTTTACCTTTTTTGTGTGTGTTCCCTGTTTGTCACTGTGCTCTGCCTTGCTTTCCCTGCCTGCTTTGTATACCTTTTTATCAAAACTGAGCGTAAGATTTGTTCTTCAGTGCACTGTAGAGACATGTGTAGTCTTTCAGTGAAGGTGTGGGTTTGTACGCCAGCAGAATGCAGATTCAGAGCTGAATCTGTCACTGATAACCTCTCTGATCTGGGGCAAGTCCCACATCCTAGCTGCATCAGGTTCTGTAAAGTTACCTTCTCTCCGCTGGGTGTTGTGAGGTTTGCACGACACTTCCAGAGGATTTGGGATTCTTGGATGGTACATACAGTAAGTGTCCAGAAAAGAGAAAAAAAAATTCCCGTTTTCCGGTGCTTTTTTTCAAAATCAAGCTATGAGCATTGTCATAGCAGTGTCCTTGAGTGCCAGGAGCAGCCACACTGTGACACACTCCCATCAGTGGTAAGAAGCGGGCACCCAGGACCTGATCTATCAAAAGACTGAACATCATTTTTGACAGATTGAGGCTTCTTTGAGGGAAATTTTGATTTGCTAAAGCTCAGCAAAGCTCTGTGGCTCAAATGGATCTAAAGAGCTGTGCATCATGCCTGGTATTGGAAAATTTCATAACCTGAGAGTGAAACATTTTTTTCGAAGCCTGCAGAGAGACTTGATGACCTCCAAAGCTTGTCTGGCCTTGCTGACAGCGTTTTACTGCCTGCCAGGCTTGGCAGAGACCTGCATGAGCTGGGGAGTTGTAGTCCAACCAGCATAAGAAAAGGATGAGCTCAGATATTGTTTAGTCTGGAAGATGGTTTAAGGAGAGAACTGTCTTGCCTATGGGTGTATTTAGATTTCAGTGGACATCACTGAAGCTTAAATTTTTTAATTCATTTTTTGCGTGTGGTGGGGGGGTGTTGCTTTGTTTGCTGTTGGTGGTGGTTTTTTGGGTGGTTGGTTGGCTGTTTTTTGTTTTGGAGTGTTTTTTCATCTTAATATTTCTAGAACTGAAAAGTCTCTCCCTTGCTGTGTGTTGGCTGCATCTGATTCCACCAGGGCCAGGAAGGACTAGTTTCTTCCTCCTTTCAGCCTTTGAAAAGACTTTGGTGGTTTCTCTTTGCCTTCTTTGGATGCACACAATAGCTGCAAACTGGATGCTGGGTAGGGGCTGCTGGCACATCCTTTAGGAATAAAAGGCATTCATATCTTGTGCCTTTCTGATATGCTCACGGTGAAGCCATTCATCAGTTTTAGAGCCTGGAGAGTTTCCTTCAGCTGTCTTCAGAGGAACATCGTGATGTGGCTTTGGATGTCTTTCTTCATTGTGTGGGATGCTGAAAAAGTTCTTTTTAGCCTGTAGTGAGTCATGTATTGTTGACTCAGAACTTGCTGTTAATTTCCCAGTAGTTATTAATTTTATTAATAGTAGTGATTAATAAGTGGCAGTCTATGCCACTGATTTAGTCTCAGTCTTCTCTGAAAGGTAAACCAGCCAACCAAGGCAATAAATACCAGTAGGCTGAGAGATTAGAATAATTTCTTTTGCTTTATGTTGTAGACATGAGTGGGAACCATTTAAGCAAATTTTTCAAGTCTAGTATGGAAGGGTTCCTCTTTTGTTATTAAGTATCAGCAGTATGTGTGGAGTTAGAGGAATGTCTGAGGACCTGTGCCTTTGAAATATGCAAATATGTAATCTCTTCTAAGTTGTTCATTTGAAACCTTTACATACATATGTGTAGGGAAATAAAGCAGCCATTCCCTTTCAGCTGAGCAAGACTTGTGTTTAAAACAAAACTCCTCTTCATGCAGTACTCATAGTCTTCCACAGTAATCAGATGAGAAGTACCTATTATGACCTCTAGTTGAGTATACTGTGTATGACTGAAAAATGAAATAGAGGTAAAAGTGGTATCAGATAACAGTTTTCTGTTTGAGGGCCAAACCAGTGCCCTTGAAAATAGCACTCTTTTTATATCATCTTCCAATTTTTCCCTGCCTTTCTGGGTTGCAAAATAGCTTGTGTGGTTTTTTGCTGACCCGAGAGGCCAGCAGTGTTGTAGGTGCAGCATCTTTTTCTCTGCTGTTTTCTCTTCACTGTTTTGCTGCCTGACTTATTTGGTGCATTGTAAGGCAAGCACTAAGCGAAGACAACAAAAGAAAGGAATGGCAACAAAAGTTACGTGTTCACCTTTTGGCTGTGATTTCACTAATTTCACTAATGGATTTGTTTTCTTTTGTGGAAGGGAGAGAGGGAGAAAGTGTTCAAGAAATTTCAAAATTAACTTCTATATACATTTTAAAGCATATTTTTTCTAGGTACGGACTTGGAACAATGATCAGAAAACTCTTGCCCAAAAGAAGCAGCAGATATTCTGGTGTGTATTTTGCTATGGTCATCCATCTTCAGTCAGAAAGTAAATGCACACCTTTTCCTACCCATATTGCTGGGTCCCTTCCCATCTCTCTGCAGTGCCTCCACAGTGAAGTACACTGAGGGGGGCAGCCCCACCTCTTTTTTTAATTTTTTTCCTCTGTCTTGCATCATAATCTGAGCTCAGCTGAGCAGGGAAGAAACACCTTGTTTTATTTTCCCCTATTCTTCTTTGTGATCCGTTAAGGGACGTGACAGTCCAGTGTCATAGCTATGGCTCATCTGAGGTCCCTGAGACTTCTTACCCTGGTGAGACTTGACACCCAGGGCCCTTCCTGATGGACTAGGATACATCAAATTCCTCAGCTGTTTTCATAGCTTCAGTGATTCAGAGCATTGCCCCCGGGTCCAAGGCATGGAATTCCTTACAGTACTAGCAAAAGCTGGAGTCTTCCAGCTGCTGTGACCTGGATGCAGAGAGGGGCTCTGCTGCTCAGAGGAAACTGTCTTCAGATCCTGGGACAGGTTTCTGCACATCCCTTCTGCTGGAAGAAGGGATCCTGTGGTCTGTGTTGGAAATAACTAGGAGTTATAGCAGTGACTGAGGGATGTGTGTTAAAAAAATAACCTTTCTGGGGAAAATTTCATTAGGGATCCTGCTGTGGGTGTAGAGCCTCAAGTTTTTTTGAAAAGATGGTTGCCTTGAAGCAAAGAGAGTTTTGCTGTTTCAGTAACAGCATCACAAACTCGCTTTGAAGCTTAGGCTGTCAGTAGGGGAACAGGGGGAACAGGGCTTTGTGTACTTGACACGAGCAAACCTTTTCGTTCGGCACAGCTTAGGAAAAAGATCCAGAGCAGGTGTGAGAAGCACTGTTTGGGGACGGATGCCCTTCTGGGGACAGTGTTTTTCACTGCTAGCACAAATCCATCTGCAGCTGATGTCCGAGCCACCCAAGTGGGTTCTGAGCGTGTGGCACCTCCTGCGGCAGGGGCAGCAGCTGGCACATGGGCGGCTTGGTGTGTGCCCCGTCCTGCCTGTCAGCCAGACCTGAAAATGCTGGAAACCAGCAGCGTCCTAACTCTGCAAATTAAACCCACAGCAACAAACAAAACACTCCATTGTCTGTCTGACTGCAGTTGGCTGCGATTGGAAAGGGAAAAGAAGCTTGAAGTAGTCATGCTGGGGGCTGTAAGCGGTTGCCGTTCTTGTTCACGCGCTGCTGAGACCATCTTTAACTGGCAGTTGAAAGGAATCCTGCTTCCAAAGGGCGAAAAAAAAAGTTGCTGTGTTAGTTGCATGTCTTTGTGTAGCACCAGTGGTGCTTTAGGCTGAGTAGCATCTCGCGTTTCTTGTCTTATGAACGTTCTGCTCCATTTGAGTTTATCTCCTTGCGCTGTAACCCAGTTATTAGAGCTGCCTTGCCTGCTGATTAGGATGCCCTGCAGTTCGTTTTTGGTGAAAAGTCCTGTCACATTTTATCGCCTGTGAATCATCAAGCTTGAATATCTGGGAACGAAGGGCTGTGCACTCTGGCCAGTTCATACATGGCAGGAGTGTAAATGTGAATTTGGGGCAGCAGATAGGCCTGGGGGTAATGGCAGTAAAACAGAGCACCTGCAATTCTGGAGGGGGAAAAAAAAATAAAAGAAACATCCTGGATGGCTTCTTTTTTTCTGGACTAGTGGAAAGCAGTGCTTGTGCACAGGAGTTTATACTACTAAAGCATAAACATTACCATGGTGTGGATGAACAAACAGTTTTCTGATTAAAAAAGGACGTTTTTACGACATCTGGGAGGTGGTTCCTCTATTTGTTACTCTTCATTTATTCATAATGTTGTCACCACTGATTCATCCTTACATCAGACATTGTTGTAGGAAAAAATAAAGGATACAGCAATTAATTCTAGCAATAGAAAAGTGTTATCTTGCTAATATGAAAATGATTTAACCTGAACAAGGTTTACTTGCAGCAAAACAAAGCTGGCATGAGAACAGCATACAGAATGAAGAATAACCTTTTCCCTTAAGAGTTTATAGCCTAAAAAGATAAATTGGATACATTACAATTAAAAGACGGTAAGTGGAAAATCAATGCTTTAGCCTCAGGACAAATGTCTTCACTAAATCAGGAGCGTTCACTCTGTGTGTTTGATGCAAAGAACCTCGGCTGATTGAACCTCTGGAGCTTTGATGCCACAGTTCCTGTCTCGTAGATCATGGTGGCACTCGTCAAATACACTTAGCATCACGGGGAAAGCTATGTAAATTGGAGCTAATTATTGAAAGAGACCTTCTTTGTGTTGTGTTTTTTTGTGGAAGTGCTGCCTCAGCCGGGTCTCCCCCATCAGGAATTAGTGCTTGATAAGCTTCTGCCGTTTGATGGTGACTGATCGTTCCTGAGGACTTCCTGCTATAAATATCTGCATTATGTGCTGTCACGTCAGAGCGTGGGCTGCCGAGGAGTGTTTGGTAGTGAAGCGTTCTGCCTCATTTGGATGCATGTGCTGGGTTTTGTGAGAGTGTGCGTGCACTCTGTACGGCGTGCAGCTGGATCTCTCATTCCATCTTGAAGGCTGGATTTAAAAAAATCTCAGCTGTGTCTCCTTT